AACTGGTTTCCAAGGTGCTTGTGGTCTGTGTGCTGGGTGCAGGGCTACTACAGAGCCAAGATCAATTTTCACATCTTTTCAGTAAATGGATGGGATGTGAAATGACTCCCATTGACAATAAGCATCCTCAAGGGCTCTGGTAATTATGTAGCCCAGCACAGCAGAAAAGAGGCACTAACAAAAGCACATAGACAATTGGTTACCATCAATTTCCTCTGGTGCTGGCACATGTAACTGCAGGGAAAAAAAAAAAAAAAAAACCAGGTCTTGTGTCAAGCCTATTTCCTTCCAATTCCAACCAGCAGATAATTTTTTTCTTCAGCAACTTTGGAAGGTTTGAACACTGAAATCTAATCATGGGCAGGATTTGTGGATGGGGAGACCCATAGCCTGACCCCTGCCTGGTAATTTCTGCCTATCACTGTCCCCTCCCCTATCTCCACGCTTCCCAATTTTTATTCTGCTCCATTTGAGAGATGAGGGCCAGGTGACCTCTTTCACAATGGACCATTGTAGATGGCTTCGTTTTCACTGCCATTTTTAATTTATTTTTTGCGTAGAAGAACTGGGGTTTAGGCCTGAGGTGCAGAGGTAAGAGGATGAGAGTGGGGAGCAGAACAGGTGGATGTACTGAAATACACTGCAGAAGGGAGCAGCAGGCGAGACAGGAGAGGTCTGCTATGTCATATGTGGGTCAGCTCCCTGGCCGGGGATGGAACTCAGGCCATATGGGTGATAGTGCTGAGACTTAACCCCTAGGCCACCAGGGAAGCTTTTCACTGCCTTATTTAAAAGCTTGAACTATGTGGGATGCTTAGATTGAAGACTGTACCAGGCTCCTATCTCCTTAACTGGTTTTGTTTCAAATGCACTGGTCTGTATAACTGGAAGAATGAAGACAAAATTTAGAAACTGGGAGATGAATTAGGACCCAGGAGGAAAGGGAGAGAGTCTCCGGACTGCAGACTGTCTAGCAGCTACCAAAGCTGACTCAGCACAGATGAACTTGATTCTCAGGAAGATGCTCATAAGGTCAACTTCCTCATTCTTCGTAAGAATGATTTATTTCCTCTAAAAGTGTCCATCTAATTTAGCCCAAAGCAAATTTAATAAAAAGCACTTTATTTTGAATAAATATACCTAAAGCAGGAAGTTGCTATTTTGACAGTTTGACAATAACGGTAAAAGCAATAAGAAAACTATTCTCATTGAGTACAAAGAAGATTGGATGGAAAATGTTACAAGATTGGGTTCACCTTTTGGAATTTCTGGTTCAGTTTGGGATCCAGCCACAGTCCATCAACAGAAAGACATTTCTCTCATTCTATTGCCTGTCTGAAGTTAAAAAGGAAAGTTCCTATTACTGTTTGGTATCAAAGACTATCTTGCAGTCCAGAAAACTAGATAGGAGAAGAGAACTAATATTTCCTGAGTGTCAGACATCGTGTTGGGTACTTTATATACAGTACATTATTAATCTCATTGCCTTTAATTTTCACAACATTGAAGAATTATTAAGCCCCAGGGTGTCTGACCCCTAAGCTTGAGCTCCCCACTGTATCCCATTATGGCACCCCACTTGCCAATTTTCAGAGAAATAGATTAAAATTTACTTGATAGTAAAATCATAGTGGAAGATAAAATGATTTTCATTGTGATAAAAATGGTACTTTACATTGGTTTTTCTAAACAGGCATCATGGTTTATCTTAATTACTTCTATATTCCTTGTAGTTAAACAGAAAGTAGGTGTAGGTTGGACTGAATTTATACTGTGTCATAGTCTAACATCAAATTATTTAGTTCAATTGCCTTTTTGTAGTGGCAGGATAGGGATGGAGCTGGTTTCCTGATGATCCTAGCAGACCCAGTAAGAGAGGCGTCTTGGAGCCCTTGGTGGTTTTCTCAGGATTTTATTGAGCTTTTACATGTAGTGTGGCAAACCAGGTACACGGCAGGCAGGGGTACAGCGGGGCCGGGGCGGGGGGGTGGGGGGCAGGAGGCCAGTAGGCCTCCAAGCCCCTGGCAAGTCTTCACTCTGGGCTTCTCTCTCTCATCTGGTGTTCTGTCTCCCCTTCTCTCTCCTGCCTCTTTCTCCTGCCTCTGCTTCTCTAAGCAGTTATCTCAATACTGAGCCATGGCCCACAGAAGTAAACAAGACAGCTTACAACAACGCGGCAACTGCAGGTGACACCATTAGGGCAATCCTAATGGTGGGAGGGCAGAAAAGCCTGAAAATCACTTACCCTACACTTTTCTAATAAAATGAGAGGGCAGGAAAAAAACACAGTAATTATTGGAACCATTTGGCTGTGTGGATGTTGTATAATATTTGGTAGTATTTTCTTCTTTGTGCCTGCTCTCAATTTGGGGGCCTGAGAACTTTAAGCAGAACAGTTATGGATCTTAGTTCTTTCAAACATTTTGTGTTTTTTGTTTAAATTCTGAAACTAGATAACATTTGACAATGTAAATGGACTCTAGACTTGAGAAATATGGCGGGATCTCTTCTGTCTAACAGATTAAGAGGAATGAAGAGCATAATTTCTGAGAGCAATGTCATGGAAAACCAACATTCTTCTCCCATAAAATGTTACTTAGAGAATATAAAAGAAAAATGTCTTTTTGAATGCATTTTCAAGTTCATTTTCATTATCTTTTCTTCAAAAACCATATTGCTTCTTAACTAATCTGTTAATTTTATCCCCATTTTCTCAGCCTCCCAGGATAAAAATATTGAATAGCATTTCCCAAAATGAGTTCTATGAAATACTATTTGCTAACAAGTTTATATCATTGCCAAATGAAGACTCTCTTTAGGGATTAAAGAAAATAACACAGGTTTTGTTACAGGGCAACCCCGCTCTAAAATGGGTTGCCTGACTGTGGGTCCTCACCAGCGTGCTTAAAGGGGACTTAAACTGCAGGCACACACTAAAGGTTAACAAAGGGTTATTTACAAGGGAAAGGGAAATGAGAAAATGTACAACTCAGGGGAAAAAGAGGGAGATAAATTCTTAGATGCATCCTATCCATTCCACCAACCTGGAATCCCAAATGACCCACCAAGAACAAACCTGCCTGGCCAAGAGCAATAGCCAAGTGCCCAAGACCCCACTAACATGGCTGGTTTTATTTACAAAGTGAGAAAATGGCTGCTTAACTCCGCCCTTAGGTCCTCCCAGCTTCCCTTTGCAGATCATGGGATTTGTAGCTCCCAGTGTCTTGATGGAGTGGGGGGTGGCATCCACAAAGCCTGTGTGGAGTTTGCTCAGGACATCCTTTCTGACTAACAGTTTCACTTCTGTGATTGCCAAGTAGATCATGTTAGTCCAACCCTTCCACAGATAAAAAGTAAATCCCTAATAAATATAAAGATTCTCAAACTATAAAAGCCTGTGTGGAAAAACGAGCATGATCAAATACAGGCAGATTCTGTACGTGGGTCAACACCAAGAAAGAGGGAATGGCATTGGGTGAATTTCCCGTTTTTACAAACCTTGACCTTTTTTTGTAGAGCAGGCCCGCTAGACAAGCTGTGCCAGGCAGGGTAGCTAAGACACAAACTTAACCTCAGTATTAGTTACTTGAAGATCTAGACAACGCAGTTTGGGGTGACCACCACAGCTAAAAAGTAAAAGTCCTCTCAGACAAACAAGCCAGAAAAGTGGAAGCACAGAGTCTATATGTAGACTCTGCCCAAATCCCTGGCAGTTGTCTGAAACACACATGCAAGGGACATGCTCCAAACAGTCTGATTAAGATTAAAATAAATTAACAGATTTTAGTTCATGCTCTTCTCAGGGAAGAGAGAAATTGCAGTTTGAGCCCAGACAAGTTATCTTTGTGCTAAAACAATAACTAAAAAATTCTTTAAAGGAACACAATAAAACTTAGACTTTCTACAATGAATCATTCATGATGTCCAGGACGTAATCCAAAATTACCCAGCCTACAAAGAAATAGGAAAATGTGACTCCAACTGAAGAGAAAAGAATCAACAGAGACTAACTCTAGAGACTGAGATAATGGAATTAGCAGACAAGAATTTTAAAGTAGCTTTTATAAATATGCCCAATGATATAAAAGAAAATCTACTCATGATAAAGGAAAAGAGAAAATCTCAGCAGCAAGACAGAAATAAAAAAATAGAAATTCTATAAATGAAAAACCATCTCTTTAAGGAAATTAATGTAGAATTTTAAAATATATTCATGTTCATTATTAATCTCAAATAAGAGAAATGAAGTATGGATCTGTTTTCCATATTTATTTGATCACAAAACACTAAAGTACTTTTCTGTGCAACACAGTTTGAGAAATTCTACCTTGGAGATTTAAGTTAGGTACTTGCAATTTAACTGTAAATAGAAACTCTAGAACTTTAGTTAGACTCTAGTACAGAAGTAAGTGTTCTGTAGGGCAGATACAAATCTGAGTTATGGGCTCCCTGGTGGCTTATGGGTTAAGTCTCAACACTGTCACTGCCTCCTGAGTTCAATCCCAAACCAGGGAGCTACCCACATATGGTGCAGCAGACCTCTCCTGCCTTGCCCGCTGCTCCCCTTAGCAGTGTATTCAGTCAATTCACCTGTTCTGCTCCCCACTCTGTTTCTGGTGAAACCTTTCACTCTCCACACCTCTGGACTATAACCCAGTTCTTCTATGCGTAAATAAATAAATCTTAAAAAAAAAAAAAAACCAACAAATCTAGTTATGAGGCAGAGAACAAACATGTATTAAGTACTATGTGCCAGGCAGTATTATTTCATAAAAGGGGCTTTATTCTTGTTTTACTATGAAGCATCTTATAAATAAGAAATTGGGGCTAAGAATGGTTGAATAACTTACTTGTTCAAGGCCATTCAGTTAGTAATTGTAGACCAGGATTCAAGCTTATTGCCAAGTCCATAATTTTCATTCTATTCGCTTATTACCCAATATGCGGCATGTGCACTAACAATGGAATTACCAAGAAATGCAGAATCTTGGGTCCTGGGAAAGACGAAGTAAATTAAACAAGATACTTGCGTGCTTGGATGCACAGTACATTTTGAGAAGTCCTGGTTTCGGCCGTTGGTTTCTCAAGTATAATCCCTCCGTTGGTTTCTCAAGTATAATCCCTAGACCAGGAGAAGCCTCACCTAGGGATTTGTTAGAAGTGCAAATTGGGGGCCCATTCCTGAACTATCAAACCAGAAAATCTGTGCTTTAACAAGTTCTTCTGGTGAATTGTTAAAAAAGATTTTTCTTTTGGTGAAGAAGGCTTCCGGAGGCTCATTAGAGTTTGAGAGCCAGTGGTCTATCCCAGACTACCTGCATCAAATGACAGAAAGGAACTGAAGTCAGATAGACTCGAACAGGAATGAGGAAAAGGTGAAAATGAGTGAAAGGTGGATCCTGACAAAGCTAAGTCCCACTATGAAGGAAAGCATACAATTTTACTGAAAAACATAAAAAGATAAGTCTAAATATGGAGGACAAGCTAGCGCTTTACAAATTAACATACCATTTAATACAATTAAAATATTGGTCCTAGTGAGGAGTTCAATGTAGAACATTTAAAGTTCACATGAAAAATAACCAGGCAAAAATGAACAATAAATATTTGGAGGAAAAAAATGAAGGGAGGTTATCAGAAATGAAAGCATAGTATAAAGCTGTAATAAAAACCCGCCAGAATTTATAACTAGATCTATGAAACAGGTAGTGATTTTCAAAAAGAAAGGCTTTTTTTCCAAACAATGCACCACCCCCAGCCCCAATGTGGTGAGTTTGGATTTTGTTGAGACAGAAAAAATACTGAGAGCCACTTCCAAGGATATGTTAAGATTATTCTGTGATGAAAAGTACATCTCAGATTGCGGGAATGTCAAGAATATTCAACAATTCACATAAATATTCAATTCATATTGAGGGAAATTAATTATTGTGGGGAAAAAAGTGATAGCTTCGGGGCCTCCCTGGTGGCGCAGGGGTTAAGACGCAACCTATGAAGCAATCTGCAGCCACTGCAGCATGAGTTCGATTCCCGGCCGGCCAGGGAGAAACCCACATGGCGGGACAGACCTCTCCTGTCTCCCCACTGCTCCCCTCAGCAGTGTATTTCAGTCCATCTGCTTGTTCTGTTTCCCACTCTGTCTCTGGTGAATCCTCTCACCTCTGCATCTCTGGCCTGTACCCCAATTCTTGTATAAAAATAAATAAATCTTTAAAAAAAAAAAAAAAAAAAGAAAAAAGTGATAGCTTCCCATCAGTATTTTAGCACCTGTTTTCCAGAAAGTTTTAAAATAGTATAAAAATACAACAGAAAAGATAGATTTGGTTACATTAAACTTCTGTATTTCTAAATCCACAAAAAGATTAAAAAGACAATATTAAATGACACAAAAGCTTGTGTCAATTATGATGGGAGAAGGTTAACAACTTAATGTTCAATGTATTCCTTACAAAGCAATGACAAAGTCGCTGCTGGCTCAGTAAAGAAACTGGGCAAAGGACATGAACAGTAAGTGGTGAAGGAGAATCCAAATGTCAATAATCATTTTAAAATATAAACTTGGCTAATGATCACAAATGAAGACACGTTTAAAATTCAAATTTGGTTACAACTTTATTAGGCAATAAATGCACACCAGGATGTTTCTGGAACAGTAAAGTGGCCGAAATTTTCTGGAATTTTTTTATATCTATCAGATAGTAAGCAAGCTAGCTGACAATAACTTCATCCAATAATCCTGCCCATGGAAATGAATCCTATGCAGTCAGAATTCATCACATAAAAGGAAAAATTAGAGGTAATATAAATGACCAAAACCATTTATTGAAAAGACTGTCTTCATTGAACATTCTTGGTACTTTTGTTAAATATTAAGTTGACCATATGTATATGAGTTTATTTTGGGCTCTCAATTTTCTATTGATCTATGTGTTTGTTTTTATAATATATTCTTTTGACTACTATAGCTTTAGAATATAGTTTGAAATCAGGAAGTGTAATGTCGCCTGCTTTGTTATTTTTTTCAGAATTGCTTTGGGTATTTGGGAGTCTTTTGTGGTTCCATATAAATTTTAGGATGGTTTTCTACACTTCTGTAAAATATGCCTTGATGGGGATTGCCTATAACCCTGGGGCTTTTGGTAGCGTGGAACTGTTAACAATATTCTTCGAAGTCATGAACATGGGATATTTTTCCATTTATTTGTGTAATCTTCAATTTCTTTCATCAGTGTCTTACGGTTTTCAGTGTAGAAATCATTTATCTCTGTTATAGTGATTCTTAAGTGTTTTTATTTTTGAAGTCCCTTTCACCTCAGCTGCCCCATCCCTTTCCCCCTCATATACCCTAACCATGCCATCTAAAACCTCTGTGTACATGTGCATATGTGGTTGCATTCCAGGTCATTGGGGAGGAAGGGAGATGGAGAAATGGGACAAGGGGCAAACTCTCAGAACTCAGCCTGGCACTGGAATGTTTTCAGATGATTCATTTTTAGTTTATAGAAAGGCCACTAATTTTTCTATGTTCATTTAGTATTTGGCAACTTCACTAACTTTGTTGATTGACCTAATAGGTTTTTGGGTGCAGTCTTTAAGATTTTCCCTTATATAAAATCTTGTCATTTTCAAGTAGACAATTTTACTTTTTTTTTTCCAATTCTCATATATTTTGTTTCTTTTCTCGCCTAATTGCTCTGCCTATGACTTCCAGTTGTATGTTGAATAGAAGAGGTGAGAGCGGCACCCCTGTTTAGTCTTAGAAGAAGTGCTTTTAACCTTTCACCACTGAGAAAGATGTTACCTATGGGTTTGTCCATATATGGCCTTTATCATGTTGAGGTACATTCTTTCCATATCTAATTTGCTAAAAGTTATCATAAACAGATGTTAAATTTTGTCAAATGCTTTTATACCCTCCATCTGAGATTTTTTTTCATTAATTTGATGCATTGATTGTTTTGCATAAGTTGAAAGAGCTTTATAATCCGGGGATAAACCTCACCCAGCTATAGTGAATGATCGCTCTAATGTGCTGCTAAATTTGGTTTGCTAGTTTTGAGAATTTTTGCATTTATACTCATCAGATTTTGGCCTTCAATTTACTTTTTAGTTACGATACTGTTGTTATCAATAATGCTGGCCTCATGAAATGAGGTTGGGCGTATTCCCTCCTCTTTGATAATTTTTGGACGAATTTGAGAAGGATTAGCACAACTTTTCTTTAAATGTTTGATAAAAGTCATCAGTAAAGCCATCTGATCGTGTGTTTTTTTCATTGGGAGATATTTGATTACTGGTTCAAATTCCTTGTTAGTAATTCTGGTCTCTTCAGATCTGCTATTTCTTCCAGATTCAGTCTTGGTAAGTTGTATATATCTAGCAATATTTTCATTTCTTATCCATTGCCCAGTTTTTTTTGGCATATAGTTCATAACAGCTTCTTATGCTTTTTTTTGTATTTCTCTGTTATCAGTTGTAATTTTTTTTTTTTTTATTTGTAATTTTGTTGAATTGTGTCCTTATTTCCTTGGGTCCTCTTCTTTTCCAAAAGAGCCAATTCTTTGGCTTGCTAATCTTTTCTATGTTTTCCTGGTTTCTATTTCTAATCTTATTTCCTTCCTTTTGCTTACTCTGGTTTACTTTGCCTTTCTGGTTCCTTAAGGCATAGAGTCGGGTTGTTTGAAATCTTTCTAGTTTCTTAATGCAGGCATTTGTTGCTATAAACTTCCCTCTGAGAACTGCCTTTGCTCCATTAAATCTTGGTGCTTTTGTTTCCATTTTCATTTGCCTCAAGATACTTTATTTCCCCTTTAACTTCTTCAACACAGGAGTGTTAATTTTTGTGTGAGTTTTCCTGCTATTATTGATTTTCAGTTTTATATCATGGTGGTCGGAGAAGACACTTGATATTATTTGAATCTTCTTGAATTTTCTGAGACTTGTGGCCTAACACATGGTCTATTTTAGAAAATTTTTCATGTGTATGTGAGAAGATGTTGTCAGAATGGAATGGTCTGTGATTATGTTTGTCAGAATGGAATGGTCTGTATATGTGTTAGGTCTGTAGTGCTGTTCAAATATATTTTCCTTTTTATTGTTGAGAGTGGGGTATTAAAGTCCCCAATGCTTATATTGCTATTTAACTCTCCTTTAAGCTCTGCTTTTACTTTATATATTCAGGTGTTCCAGTGTTGGGCAAATAAATATTCACAGTTGTTCTTTTTAATGGATTGATCTCATCATTTTATACCTTTGTCATTTTACCATTTTCAGTTTAAATACTATTTTTTTAAAAAATGTAAGTATTGCTGTCTCTGCTTTAGGGGAGGTTGCCATATTCTTTTCTTTTTTTTAATAGACTTATTTATTTATACAAGCACTGGGTACAGTCAGAAGCGCAGGAGGGCTAGAGTGGGGAACAGAACAGGCAGACCGATGAAATACACTGCTGAGGGGAGCAGCGAGCACAGCAGGAGAGGTCTGAGCGCCATGTGGGACCCTTGCCAGCAGCCGGGGCTAGAACTGGTGCTACAGAAGCTGTGGGCAGCTTCGCAGCCCAGAGCTCAACCTCTGCGCCACCAGGGGAGGCCCGGTTGCCATATTCTTGATTATTCTTTTACCATCCCTTCTTTGTGTCTTTAAGATTCACGTGAGTCTCTTGCGGGCAAGATATTAGCTCTTGTTTGTTTATCCATGCAATCATTTATGCTTTTGATAGAATTTAATCTGTTTAAGTAATTATTGATAGCTAAGAACTTATGATCACCATTTTGTTGATTATTGGCAGTCTTGTAGCGCCTCTATTTTGTTCCTTTTGTAATGATGTTCTTTGTATCGATAAATTTTGATTTCCTTATACTTATGTAATTACTACAGGTTTTTACCTTGTGATTGCCATGAGACTCACATAAAATTTTGAAATTTAAATGATAATTTCAGTAGTGTTCTAAGCGTTACATTTTTACTTCTCACATTTTAGACCTACACAACTTATAGGTCTTTAATGTTATAGTTTACATAAGTTTTATATTGTATATCCAAAGTAGATTATTGTAAGCTATGGTTACTACGTTTAACTTTTTTAAACTCAATTATGCATCACCATTGCCATATTATAGAATCTAAGTTTGACCACATAGTTACAATTACCACTGAATTTTGCACTACCTCCCTATGTTTTTATGATGTTAATTAGCATTATTTTGCTTCCACTCAAATAACTCCCCTTAGCATTTCTTATAAGGTAATCAGCTTTTCTTTGGGAGTCTTTCTCCATTTCTGAAGGACAGTTTTGGTTGATAGTGTTCTTTCAAAAATGTGTATTATTCTGCTCTTTGTAGGCTGAAAACTTTCTGATGCAGAAGCTGCCAGTAGCCTTACAGGGATACCTCTGTATGTGATTTCTTTTTTGTCTTTGACTTTTGGCAGTTAAAATGTGACTCAGGTGAGTCTATTCAGGTTCAACCTATTTAGGATATTTTGGGCCTTACGAGTAGGGATGTCCATTTTTCTCTCCAGGTTTGGCAGGTTTTCAACACCTATTGACTTAAATAACTTCCTGAACTTTTTCTTTTCCTTTTGGAATTCCCATGTGGCTATTGCCTCTTTTGATTATGTCCAATAAGTCCCATAGGTTTTTCATTTTTGTTTTTTGTTTCCCTGACTGGATAATTTCAAAGATCTGTCTTCTAGATCAGTGATTCTTCTGCATCATGGATCAGAACTCTCTAGTTTATTGGGAGTTTTAAAACTGAATTCTTCAGTTATTGTGTTTTTCAGTCCAAGGATATGTTTGGTGGATTTTTTGCATAATTTCTTCTTCTTTGACCATCTCATTTTGTTGATGCATGGTTTTCCTAATTTTATTAGCTGTCTAATCAATCATATCACTGTTTTCATATAAAAAACATCAAATTTTATATTAAGATAAATGATAGTCACTTTAAAAATTATTTCCTTTTGCTGGATTTTTATTACAAGATAAATAATACATTAACAAAATCAATAAGTGGTATTCTACCTAATGAATTACTTATTACCTATTTAGTATCTCTTTCAAGTTAAAGTTCTCTTCTGGGACATTTAAAAGGTAAATTTAAATTGCAAAATATATATGTATGTATAGAAAAGATTATTGCTGTTTGGCTGTATGTGGTAAATTGTGCTTGTGAGGGTTGCCTATAACTGTGTGCAAAGTGAAATGTTCTACATGAGAGACTGGGGTAGGGCTGTCCAGCTCCCCTTGTTTTTTGAAAACTACCAGACAGACTCAACAAGATGTTCCAGGAATGTTGTTTTTAAACCTAAATAGGATTTAGGGAGAAACACCCCAGTTGGGAAACTGGGCAGGCCTAAAATTGAATCCAGGGTCTACTACCAGCCAGTTAGAACTCCTGAGCTTCAGTTTCTTCATTAGTAAAGTGGTGGACACAATACTGAAGTAGCAGGGTTGTTATGAGGATTTAATTTTAGTGACTTGTGGTTGGGAGTTGGGCTTTCACTCATCCCCACAGCCAGGACTGTCTGTCTGCTTTCCTGACTGTATCCGCCCTCGAAAGGACAATGTGGTCTCAGAGAGCAAGAGTGTTGAAGAATCCTGGCTTTGCTGCCTTAAATAACCTGCCTGTGATCATGAGTTTTTATGTCCCCGAGTCTTAAAGATAAGGCTACCACCCACATTAATGTGCAGGTTATGCCAGTCACATGCTTTATATGTAGCACTCACCACAGTAACTGGCAGGAGACACTCAAGACAGTTTTGCTCCAACTTGTGCTTCTTAAATGTGAATGACATCACGTGCCCTAGGTAAATGGGGAAATGCTGCAACATGCAATGCTGGTTCCCACGCAGTTTTTCTCTGGCACATTACTCTTTGAAAGTGAGCAGAGATAAGCTCTCACAGTAACTACCTCTTCAATAAGAGGAAAACTTAGCCCTTGGAAGGCTTAGATGAAAAGCTAGGAAAACACAAGGCTGCCTTCCTTAGTTACTGAAAGCAACTAATTTAATGACTAAGTACTGGGGGGGGTGGTGCAGGGGAGGGGCTGACAGTGCAGAGAAGAAGCTGCAAGCCCGCTTCCCTTTAAACTAAAAAAAATTAATGAAGAACCCTAGTGGTGATGTCAAATGTTTAATTTTGATTAGATTGGTTCCTACTAGGAACGAATGGTCTCCAGAATTTCGATATCAAAAGAAGCACCAGCAGCTTAGGGTTCAAGGGCAAATGTTCATGCAAGTTTAGGGTTAGTGAGACTAAACCTGTTAGTTTGGTTAATTAAATGTTGCATAGACTTTGAGGGGTCTTGCCCAACCTATTTCCCCACCAGAGATGGTGAGCAAGCAAAAACATAGGCATCCTTTCTCCTTCCTCTAAAGAAATCTAATCACTACAAAATGAAAACAATAACTCATTTATTGTATATTCTCTCCAAATGAGTCAACATTTACTTTTCATAACTCTGAACTAGAGGCTGCTGTGACACCTATTTTATAAATGTGGAAACTGATTTACAAGTCACATGAGTCACCTGCCCAAGGCCACACAGTTAGAAAGCAGAGTGGGAATTAAAACCTCTGCTGGGCCTCCCTGGTGGTTCAGGGGGTTGAGCACAGTGCTGTGGAGCTCTCCACAGACTCTGCAGCCTGGGTTCGATCATCCTCAGGTGGCCAGGGAGATAACCACATGGCGTGGCAGACCTCTCCTGTCTCACCCACTGCTCTCCTCAGCAGTGTTTTCCATCTCTCTGCCTGTTCTGCTCTCCACTATGTCTCTGGTGGGTTCTCTCCCCCACTCCCCCTGGCCTGTACCCCAGTTCTTGTATGCATGGATGGATAAATCTTTAAAAAAAAAAAAACCTCTGCTGAGGGGAACAGTGAGCGAGACAGGAGAGGTCTGATGTGCCATGTGGGTTGCTTCCTGGCTGGGATCAAACTCATGCTGCAGTGGCTAGTGATAGCTTGGTAGCACTGTGTCTCTGACCCCTGCACCACCAGGGAGACCCAACTTCTGCTTTTTCTATGCACTTAAGAACACATCAAAATATTTTTCTTTTTTCACATAAGTGGGATTATATTCCTATTGTTTTCATTTACAGGCATGGCCCTATTAGAAAACTGAAGTACAGGAACACTGTTAGTAATTCACAGCTATTTACATTTCACAAGACTCATACTTCATTCCAAGAAGTCAGGCTCATCAATTATTTGCATTGAGTAACATGTTAATTATACAAATAATTAGCCTTGAGACTAGACAGGAACATGAAAGAATAATGAATAGTTTTGCTAGTTCTGTTATGGCCAGTCCCTGATCTGTAGCGTTAACAGCTCCCATATTCGGCTTGCTAAGTTCTCCTCACTTTGACTTTGTAGAAATGGCCAAATCTATACCAGCAATTAGATTTTCTCTGCCATGTCAACCCCAAACCACTGATTATGATTGTTGGGGGCCACTGGGGTTCCAGGAGCATCCAGGTGAGTGTGTGGGGGCTGGCGCTGGGGAGCCAGGCATGTCCCCTCTGGCCTTGTGTTGAGAAGTTGTCCTTAAGCCATGGAGGGTCATAGTGTTCAACTTTCTGCTCCCTCTGACCTACAAATATGCTATGTTCTGAAAATGAATCAGTTGTGGATTCTGTCTCCTAATAAGAAAGGTAGAACTCACCATACACAAATGAAAAAGTGGTAAGTGACCTAGAAGTAACAGAAAGTGACATCAGGGGTCAGAGGAGAGAGAGGTTTAGTTATAGATCAGGCAGGCAAAGCTGGATTAGGTGGGTCTTAAGGGATATAGAGAAATGGAGGTAAGGGATGAGGTGAGGATGATTCAGCCTTTTTTCCCATTTGGGGACAGATGACGAATCACTTGCTGCAACAAGAAAGAAGGAAACGTGAATCAGCGTGTACAAGGGGGGAAATCAGTGTGGCCGGAATGTAGCAAAGGAAGGTAAAGTTGGGAGACAAGAGCAGGCCCAGGTTGTGAAGGGCCTGGGAATACCAGATCAGGAGTGATCTAGAAGGACGTGTTTCAAGGTGTGTCCACAGGATGTTTGTAGTTGTCATGTAACAAAAGGATGCTGTTAACTATGCTGGAAAAACACTGAATTTTAAAAAGTTGTAAACTTCAGGAGTTTGAATTTTAAAAAAGCTTACAGTTTATCTCCAAGCAATCCCTGTCATTTGCAAAACAATTCCAAACTTGATATCTTCACAGAAGTTTTTCTTGGGTGCACCTTATCGCATAAGCATTGTACAGCAGGTCTATGGAAGGAATAACCATAGAGTGGCTGATGCCCAAGTACACAAATTTGCAAAATGACCTGCTATGGCTGCAGGAATGGACATATTTTCCTGTGTCCCAAATCAGGTATCAGCCCCCTTGTTTGCTGTTACCCCTGATTCACTGTTATAAGGATCTGCCAACCTCCCTCACCTTTTGAGCCAGGCCAGCTGGATGGCTGGGTTCCAGCTGTCCCCCTGGATCCCAGGTGTGTGTTCACGCTGCCCTGGGCTCCTCTGACCCCCCACACCCTCAGTGCTTCTGGTCCTGGTCACCCACGGAGTGACTGTGACTCTGGCTTTTGCTGCTTACTCAGAGACAAGGTTCCTGTGGACTGTATTCTGGGGAGCTGGGGCTCCTGTGTCTGATAAACTTAGCCTTCTGCTCCCTTTCCTGGTTGTGATGGTCTCCAGGGGAGAGTTAATAATTCTCTTGAGGAGGATAAGCCAGCTGCCTCTAAATTTATCATTTAATTACCCCCTGTGGAGATTAAAACCTTAGCAAAGACTTGTTTGGAGCCACAGCTACAAGTCAACTGGGCAAAATTAGGGATCACAAAACAATCTAGGAAAGAGAGTAAAATCGCTAGGATTTCAGAGATCACTGGTGCTGCCGGGTTGTTCAAGAAGCCAGCTGGTGAGACTGAATGAGGCTGGGTGAGTGGGCAAAAGCTTGGCAGATAAACTCTTCTGGGAGTAAGGGCATGACAGGAAAGCCCAGAACACAGATGAGATGCTGCCACTGTGGGCCAGCTGCTGTCACCCAGGGGAAGGACCTGGGACTCGCTGCAAGACCCCAGCCCCACAAGGCGAACCAATCTGTGCAAGTTGCTAGGAAGACTAAAGAACAAAAACAAAACCACCTTTCTGACTTACCTTTTTGGAAACAGACTGGAATGTACAGTTCTAGTTGATGCTTTAAGAGGGAAAGATGGAGTTCACAGGGCATTTCAAGTGATAGAGGAGCATCTGTATGAGGCCAGAGTGGAGGCTGATGTGATCCAGTCTAGAAAATTATGAAAGGTAAAGGTGAGCCTAAACCGAAACCAGTTTATGATGACAAGGACGTTTTCTGAGCTAGGCGCTAGAATTCAAGCAAGTAAAACATGGTGACTAAATGCATGAAACCTATTACCATATCACCCTAATGCGCCCAGTCTCATCTGATCTCAGAAGCCAAAACTATTCACAACATCATGGCCACTGGAGTCATTGCAGGTTACTGAGGGAAAGCTGGTCGTTGGGGATGGGGCAGTAGGGAGGCTAATTGTGTCTTCTACCTCACAGCCCTAGTCTCACCATAAGCACCTGGGGTGGAAAGATCTTGGCTTGTTCCACACACGTACGTGCATCTTACTTTAAAAAGATTGCTGACGTGAATGTATGCATTATCATTAGCAGGTGCTTGCCTTAACCAGACACAGAGCTAGGCACTTCCGTACACTTATCTTTAATCCTTAGAACAGTAACTATGTCTCATAGATAAACCATTCAATAGACTAAATCACTAGTCAAGGTCACATATGTCAATGCCCGAGGAGCTGGGAAACCCACACACACCCTAATACTTGCTTCTCATCTCACCTGTTTTCTTAGGTTTTCTGTCCTTCATGCCAAATTTATTCTGAGACTGCCTGAAATTCCCAAGACGGTGCATCTGTCCTTTGACCTGCTTGTTGGCTCCCTTTTCTCTCAAGTTCAGAGCTCCCGATGGGCGCGAGGGGCGGGTCCTGGGGCTTAGAGGGCACAGGAGGATCTAACCAGGTGGGGCATTTCCCATGTTTCCCCACAACACCCACTTGAATGTCCATTTTGGAGCTGAGAAGGCGGAGTCTCAGACCAGGGAGTAGAGGCAACAGGAGCCAGTTGGCCTAAAGCGAAGGTTGCCCCTAGAAGGGGGAGAGAGACCACCCCTCCTCTGCCCCCCGCCCCCATAGGAAGAGGTCACCTCCATTGCCACCAACACCAGAGGGTTCTGCTCTACCATCTTGCTGAGTCAGCTCCCGGTAGGGGTGGGGGAGTTCCTGCCAGACAGAAACTCACTTTGGAATTGTGTCTGTTGAGCAAATTTAGATCAGTCCCACCCTTTCCCTCGTCAGTATTTGTCCTGGTCAGCTCTGGGGCTGTTTGCCTGCAAGACAGATGGGTATTCAGATTCCTCTAAGTCAGGGTTTCTTAGCCTTGGCATATTGACATTTGCGGGTAGGTACTTCTGTTCCTGGGGCCTGTCCTTCGCCCTGTGGGGTGACTAGCGACATCTGTGGTCTCTGCGCATCAGACATCAATAGTAGCCTCTTCTACCAGTTGTGACAACCAGAAATGTCTAAGACTTTGCTCATTGTCACCTGGGGAGGGGGGAATCACCCCTGTTGTTATTCAGGTGGGCTAGGAGGTCTTCTTGCCTTTCTACCTAAAACCCAACAAACACCACCCCCTCCCCCCTACTCCCTCCAGGTAAGCCCAGGAGATCTGGTGCAGTGACACCTGTAGGCGGAGCCGGCCATCCCGGCTTGGGGGAGGGGACACCGCACAGACTGCTGGCCTGGTACTTACTTGATGCCCCCACGAGAGGTGAAAAATGTAGAGCTTTCAATGTGCAGATGGCTCGCGCTGCTTAATTACCAGCCCAAAGCACGCTAACATTTCCCTCCCTCTCTGCCTGCACCAGCCCGCCCGGAGCAGTGGAGGCATTAACAACGGGGAGCGGTTGCCCTTTCCTGCATCCTTATCACACACTAATTATTTTATTCTAAAGAGACAAAGTAGAGAGAATGTAACATATGATTCTGACACTTTTCCTTAAAAAAAAAAAAACAAACTGCATTTCCTAGTGACTAGAGCATAGGAGCTGGTTGCTAGGCAACTGGGAAAAGGCAGACTCCTGTACTGGCCATGCTGGTTTCGGAAATGAGCCATAAAAGGAATTCCCCAGTGAGATGGGATCCCATACCATTGCCTGGTTGCCATGGACACCATACATAAGTGATGGATCCCGGGTTACAGGCCCTGCTCCAGAAAAAATATGTTGCTTCTGCTTTGGGTGTGAATGGGATGAGGAAGGTTAGGGAAGCCTCTTCCTACCATGTCCCTTCTTATTCCTCCTTTACTCCCCCTGCAAGAGAGGCCCGAGTCTAAGTGGCTGAGACATTCCGTCCAATTTCAGCTCTGCTTTGATTTAATATGTTCCAGTCTTTGCTGGAGTTGGGAGGGAGTTGCAATCTGGAAGGCAAATTTTTAAGCAAGAAAAGATGCCTCGGTGGCAAGACAGGCTGTCTGTCTGTCATCCACCCCAGTTTGGGGGCCACACAGTGCCGAGATGAGGCTCAAGGGCAGCTCCCTATGTTCACACGTCCTATTGGAATTTTGCAAAACAACAGAGATTAGCAGTGGAAGAGACAATAGCCATGACTCCGAGATGAAATTGGCATGTCATGCAGAGCAAGGCACACAATAGGCCACTGCAATTCTGTCAGAAATTAGAAACAGACTTCAGATAATAGGAGGGAAATGTGAGGCACATACAAAGATGTGCAGGTTTACTGGCTTTCCGAGCTGAACAGTGAACAGCGAGGCCTTGTGGTGAACACCCAACCCTGTTCCTGGTGGCCAGGAGACTCAGGACCCTGGGCTTGAACCCCCAGCTCTTCCAAAGACAGAGGCCCAAAGAGCAGCCATTTGCTCAAGGTCATAGAAGACATTTCTCAATGGTGAGCTGTAAGGGTAACTCTGCACTTATAACATGGCTTTAGAACATCTCCCTAAAATTTACCAGCCGAAAACATTTTATCTTACAGTTTTTGTGGGCCAGGAATCCAGGAGACGCTTAACCCGGGGCTACAGGCAAGATGTCGGAGGAGCCTGTGTCGCACTGTTGAGGCTCAGCGGGGAGGATGCGTGGAGGATGCGTGGAGGAGCTCAGCTGCATGGGCTGTGGGCTGGAGACCTCAGATTCTTGCTGCGCGGCCCCTCTCTCCATAGGGCAGTTTATCACACAGCAGCTGCCTCCCTCAGCACCAAGGAGCACCCAAGGTGGGAGGCACGTTCTTTACCTGCAGCTCAGCCTGTCGTAGTCTCATAGAATAGGCCCAGCCCAGACCGAGAGGAGGGCTCCCACGAGGGCAGGAGGGCCCACCACCGTCACCCAGTCTGCTTCCAGGATCCTGAGTGTTGGCGGGGAGGGGGGCTACAGCTCCAAGTTGGGTGTGGGAGAATAAGGGGTTCTAGGAAGGGGCAGCTAAGGGGAGGAGTAGATAAATGTGAAGAAAAGGGGGGAAATAGCAGGGAAGGGAACTGAGCATCACGTGTGAGGAAATAAGCTAGGGATGGAGAATGAATTGGAGATATAAGGCGGAATAAAGGCCAGGATGAGGGGGATAGAAATAGCTGGAAGAGACCTGGGAAGAAAAAGCTGAAGCAGACAAGGCAAGAGAACAAGGGGAGAAATGTGCTCAAGGGAGGGGAGCTGGGGGGAGGCACCCAAGAGCTGGAGAAGGGAGAGTACTGTGGGGCTGGCACAGGAGGCAGCCCCTGGGGAAAGGAGCGATGACAATAATAAAGAGGCACCAAATGCAGGAATCTGACATGCATCACCTCATGTTGTCTTCATCACCGCCAGCACCGAAGATCCCGTTGTTGATGGTGTTGGAAGTGGAGAAGTTGAGGCTGAGGATTAAGTACCTGTCTGAGGCTGTATAGGCAGGAAGTGACTGCAGGTAGGTGGGAGCAGGGCAGGGCATCCTCTTGGCAGGGAACCACCCCAACTTCACAGTCATCTTAGCAGTGAGGCCAGAAAGAGCAAGGGGAGTTCACTCCCTCCCTCAACTGTATGTTCACGGATGTCTGCTCCTGTCTGTCTTGCTGCTCCCCGGAGCACAGATTTGGAAGGCTGCGTTCCTTGCCTGTAGTAGCAGGCGCATCCGAACATGAAACCAAGGGGGGGCACCCCTGTTTATCAAATAGACCCACATATTAAGCCTCCTGCTGGACCATGCAGCTGTCTCTCCACACCCGGGTTGCCAAGTGGCCTATCTTGTCCCCCAGATTCCCCGCTGTGCCTTGCACTATTGTGAACAGGTAGTCAAAACACCTGGGGGGAATCAAATATTTACTCCTGCTGAATTCCATGAGAAATACTGCTGCTTTCACTTATTAGCCTCACAGCAAAATAAGAAAAGACCAGCTCTCCCCACTGGGCCCATCTCTTCACTAGCTAGTTGACTCAGGCACGTTACTTAAGGACACTGCATTCCACTGCGGTTATCAGTAAAAGAGACAGGTTGGCTAGGTGATCCTGAAAATCTTTTCTAGTTCCAAAACCACACAAATCACATCGGGGAGGAGAATTAGGAGTCAAAGTAGAAATGGGTAATGGATCTGATACTGATACAGGCTGCCACTTAGGCGGACCTGATAGAGAACGGTTCTGGATTCCATGGTGCCAAGACACCACTCCATCAACATTCCTCTTAAAAAGGGTTCGGCTCCACTCTTTTATGGCATTCATGCAACAGGCTCCATGCCTGCATTCTCGTGGTCACCGAGCTCCCTCTCTGGTGCTGAGCTAGAGACTTGGCTGCATCAACTTTAGAACAATAGGAGACCCACGAGGCCATGGCTGGCTCAGCCGCCAGAGCACTGTTACAAAGGGCCATGGGACTCACCACATGCGCCTCCAAGAGTGTCATGAAATTAGGGTGTCTGGGTTGAATCCCACTTTTCAGTTGTCAGTGTCTGAAGCTGGTACCTAGGAATAGAGGACGGAGTCCAAGACCCCTGACTGGTGCCTGCCCACTTAAGCAAGTCATGGCTGGTCTGCCTGCCCGACTGCAGTCTCTGATGTTCCTGTGGGGAGGCAGGTACTTTCAAAACACAATGAAGGGCCTCCCCAGTGGCACAGCGGTTGAGCGCTGGGTTGCAAAGCTGCCCGCAGCCTCTGCAGCACCGGTTTGATCCCCGGCTGCTCCCCGGCCACCGGAGGAGGGTCCCACATGGCGCGCAGACCTCTCCTGCCGCCCGCTGCTCCCCTCAGCAGGGTACTTCGGTCCTTCTGCCTGCTCTGCTCCCCGCTCTGGCTCTGGTGAATTCTCTACCCTCCCGCGCTTCTGACTGTACCCAGTGCTTGTATAAATAAATAAATCTTTAAAAAAAAAAAAACCACAATGAACAGCAAGTGTCTGCTGATGGTCATGGAAATCCACTCATGGGATTCAAGGCCATATTGAGAACTGAGGTTGTGTCTGTTACTTCCATATCCGGCAGCCATTGAAAATGATGGATGGGGACATTTTTCCAAGCTTGATATTACCCTATTTGCTTGTGGTCACTGGTTCCATCTCCTCATATTTCTGCATGAAGAAAATATTTTGGGATAAATAGTGTTTTGGTGGTTCTCAGGAGCAGCGAAGATTCTCCCTCCTCACATGTGTTCCAGGAGGCTAATGAAGTGGAGCAGGTGTGTTGAGGTCCTGCCCGGAGCCAATCACATGTCAGCCATTTACACTGAGCTTGCTTCCAACTGCCACACTTACAGTCCAAGAGCCTCCTTGGATTGTGGTAGCCCCTGCGTGCAGAGGGTAGGGGTGCTGTGAGATTAGCACCAACCCCTCCCTGGGTGCAGCCCCCGACCAATGACTAAGGGAGCCGGCCGACAAATCCCCAACCTGAGGTGTGTCTTGCGCACAGTCTCCCAGGCCCCCATCACGATTGAGCCCCATGGCTTTAGACAGTAACCCCAGCTCCATCAACCATCCTGGAGTGCCTTATATCACTTCCCACACCTCTACTGGTGTCTCCCGGCCTTATATCCTTAATAAACCCTTTTAGTGCCTGCTGGTGGGGAAATCCATCCACCAGGGCAATGGAAAGCGACAGAAAAATGTTATTTGAAAAGAAGAATCTCTGTAAGTGGCATGCTCCTAGGGTGCATGTAAGAGTTTGTTTACAGCTTGTTACCTTCGCTGTAAGAAGTGCTGCCCGGGAAGAGTTAGGAAGGAAGGCGAAGCATCTCTCAGTGGGCACAGAGGTTACTGGGAACAATGACAAGAATACTTAGTCATGACCTTAGGGGAAACGTGGTATGTTCATGTGGATAACCCATTGCGACATCCCTTGAGACTCATCTAGAGTCATCTGGGAAAACATGACGATTGGGACAAGGGTCTTTCCAGAGGAGACGGTGCTGGAGCTTGGCGGTGCCCACACGTCTGCCCTGGCCCCGAGGCTGCCCCAGTGCAGAGGCGTCAGAACTTGAAGGGCAACTGACTGGGAAGCAGCTTACAGCATGTGGGCTCAATTTTCCTCAACAAGCTCATAATATAACTGTCAAAAGTGCCACTCTGAACCCAAATTATAAGATAATTATGTTCAGTCCCAAATTCAACACAAGAAAGGTTATTTGCTCTCCTGCCCTAGCAACCATCTCACGGCGGGGGAGAAAAACACCACACGACGACAAAATGTAAACTCACAAAGCAGCAAAAAAGCTAGCACGCAACTATTCATTTCAAGTCTATTTTGAAAAGCCTTTGATAATACCAGTAATTCCCCGTAAAGCTTCTCTATTCTCTTGCCACCATTCCCTTCTGGAGATAGAAAAAGGTTTTACTATTCTACAGCCATTCCTTTTAGGGAGATAAAGTCCACTTTATTTCCCAATTTTTTTTTTTTTTTTTTTGGTCATTCTTAAAATCCCTGACCACCTATTTCCAGCTAATTCTACCACACAGGCAGGGCTGAAAGGGAATCCTCCTGGTTTTGCACAACTTTTGAAATTCATTCCATGGTCTTAACAAGGTGCTTAAAATATAGCCCATGAGCTTTGTCCACAAGATGCTAAAACATTTCAATAAAAATGGAAAATTCAGCCAACTTACCCAATTTCCAAATATTCCAGTGCTTCACAGCTTACAGACTGGGTCGTGTCTTGGGTGGGCAGTGGAGGCTGAGCAGTCCCGCTGGGGGCCACTGGCAGGCCCACCTACAACACAGGAAGGAGAGAGGTTTGAAACACCTTTGGCTGCAAAAACAGACATCCTCTTAGACATGCTCAGTTTAGTGGTCCATAGTTGTAAGATCTCGTGAATTCCAAGGAAAAGCTGAACAATCAGGCCTCAGGAAGAGTGGAACCCGTGGCAGTGCTGTGGGGGGAGTGGGGACAGGCCCAGAGGCCCCTGGAAGGAGTGGACATGTGGGCAATTAGTCTCTAACATAGGAAGTCCAAAGGGGATATAAAAACAAAAGGTAGGAAAAGTGTCATGGGAACCAAGGAGGGAAAGCTATGCCAGGCTTAGGAGCGATGAAATGCCATCAACACAGGCTTCAGCAGCTCACCCACTGGGGCTGAGGTTTGGCACCCCTGATGGAGAACCAATCTGCATAAGACAGAGGCTGCAAAGGGAAAGCCCTTCCAATTTACCTCAACTGGTCATTCTGACCTATATGATGACAGTCTGATTTTACAGACTATTTTAAAAGAATTGGGTTCATTGAAAGAATATACAGGGGTCTCCCAGGCGTTAAAGTCTCAGTGCTATCAAACTCTCAGCAGCCACAGCAGCAGGAGTCTGATCCCCAGCCACGGAGCTGACCCACATGGCGTAGCAGACCTCTCCTGTCTCGCCTGCTGCTCCCTTCAGCAGTGTATTTCAGTAGATCCACCTGTTTTATTCCCTACTCTGCCTCTGGTGAATCCTCTCACCCCCCACACCTCAGGCCTACACCCCAGTTCTTGTATACATAAATAAAAAATGAATCTTTAAAAAAAAACAAAGAATGTACATGATCTTGATGAAGTCTATGTACTTTAATAATTTGCCTTATGTATGATAAAAATAATACCTGCATTTTGGGCACTCTGGTGGTTCTTGCTACAACTGACAGATTTCAGTTTGCTTTACTGGGGTTATTTTCACATATATGGCACTATTCTTTCCCGGATATATATGCCTTAAACATTACGAAGTCAGTGCTTCAGCATACATCCAACAAGGGCTAATGTCCAAGATCTATAAAAACCAATAAAACAACCAAAAGAAAACCGCCCAATCAAAAGTGGGCAGAAAAGCTAAATAGATACTTCTCCAAGAGCAGACCTCTCATTGCCATCCTGGACACTGCATGTCCAGCATCCATCTACACTAGATAGCTGGCCAGCAGGCACGTGAAACAATGCTATTCTCACTCATCAGCGAAATGAAGATCAAATGAGACACCATCTCACATCCATGAGAATGGCCTATATGAAAAGAGACAAGCATTGATGAGAAATATGTGCACTGTAGGTGGGATTGTAGACTGGTCTGGTCCCTATGGAAACCAGTGTGGAGGTAACTAAAAATATTAAAAACAGACCTACCATACGATGCAGCAATTCCACTCCTAGGTACTGACCCAAAGAATGCAAAAATGGTAATTCAAAGGGACACACACATATATATATATATATATATATATATATATATATATATATATATACACACACCTATGTTCATTGCACCACTATTTACAGATGTCAAATTACTGAAAAGAGCCTTAGGACAATGAGCAGATGAGGGAGATGTGGGATATACACACGATGAAATGCTGCTCATTTGAAAAGATAAAATCTTGCCATTTGTGACAACATGGAAGGAACTGGAGGGAATTACACAAAGCAAAATGCAAGAAGGAGAAAGAAACACTGATTATTTCACTCATGCAGCATATAAACAAAACAAAGGAAGAAACAAAAGTAAATCAAACCAACCCTAGAAATCTGACTGTGGAATTCAGGCCAGCAGAGGGGGAGAGTGGGAGTGGGAAGCCAGGGGAGGGTTCCAGTGGAATATGGACGAGACCACGCGTGTGCTGGTGGTAGGTGTGATAACGCGCATCTGAGGAGGTGACCTCCAAGTCATCCAATGTTGTACATCAATATTGCCTCAATAAAAATACCATTTTTAAAAAACAGGGCTTAAATTCCACTTCAAATTTTTCTCAGAAATGTTTTCTGAATACCTATGACATTTAAGGCACTGAGATAAGTGTTTCTGTGGATACAGAACTGAATAAGACATAACCTTTGTCTTTATGGAACTTGTAATTTGAAAGTGGAGGGGGTGAGTGGATGGAAAACTAGACATAATTAGACGTATATACCAGTCGCCATAAGGCAATAAAGACTATTATCTGCTTTAATGCAGGCTGTCCTTTCAGCCTCTCCCAGCTCTAGTTGGAGCCTTTGACCTCCCTTCAGCTCTTGGGCTTCCCCCACGCTACCTACCCCCCATCCTCTCATCCTTTTGTTCCATAAGCACATAGTCATGTCAGATCCCAGCATAGCATGTGATCTCTTTGAAACCTCTGTTTATTTCGTTTATTCTAGGCTGATGGCCATTATCACCAGAGGTCAAGCAGTGCCTTTAAGATGCCCTGAGTTGCCCAGTGAGTGCAGACCTCTCATTCCCACCCTGGACACTGAGTATCCAGCAGCCCAGGCTGACACTATCCAGACAGTTACTCTGCTCTCATTTCTGGCTTCATTTGGGAATTCGTATTTCTGATTTCTCCCAGAAGAGTTCTTCATGCTTTGACCAGAGGGGGAAAGATAAATAACTGTGATGGGTTTGCAAACCTTCCATTCCCGCTTGCCTTTCTCTCCTCAGCTGACTCTCAAAGCCCAGATGACAGACTTCCACCAGCATGCAGGTATCAACGGGCTCACGCATGTCAAACCTTTTTCTCCATCAGCCTTGACCTTGGCAAGAATCTGAGCATCAAGGACAAGGTTGACCTGGTGCCTTAAGATGCTCTGTGGTTGGCCTCACAGGAAGGGTATCGCCCTGGAAACCCTGTCCTGGGAGGTTTGCACGCAGTAGCTCCTGCCTTTGTTCCCTCCTTCCAGATCCCAATGATGGGTAGGGGTTAAATGCCCAGAATTTTCCCATCTGCCTGTTGCTAGCACAGACGCTTGCCTGTCACTGGAACACCTGTCCTGTAGCCCAAGCCGTGGGGTTAGTACTAGACTCTAACTGCTGTGGATGTGCACAGACCCTGGCCAATAGCATCTGATTCTTATCAGAGGCTGAAGGACAGGTTTTTCCGGAGTTCCTATGCCCAAACTTGAAAAGCATGCTCATCTGCCCCTTTACTCCATCCAATTCCTGAGGTAAGGTCAAAGGTCCCACCTCTATCAGGAGTCTAGACATCACCGTGGGGGCCTAGTGATCACTGGCTGCTGGTCTCGAGCTTGGCTGACCAACTGTTCTATTTGCCTGGGACTCAGAGGGTTTCTGGAAGTCGGGACATTCAATGCCGGAAATAGGAAAGTCTCACGCAACTCACAACAAGGTAATCACCCTAACCCTGTGTGGTCCCTGGCCTTAGAGACCAACTCCCTCTTCCATAGGAACTACAGCATAGCAAATCTCCAAGGAGGACCAAGAAAGAACTGGATCTGGGACAAGTACAAGCCACATATGTCCTTTGCCTTATTCAGAACACTATGTGTACACAGGATAGTCCTTGATTCCTTAGACTTGGATGAGGAAGAATCAAGAAGGAACAGGGATTTTCACGATCACCACTATATACCTGGACTGTATACTAAGTCTTATCAAAATGGAGTGATGCTTGTAGAGTGAGAAATATGACTGGAAGAGAATTGGGAAAGAGAATCTGGAACACCCAAGCCTTTCCTCCATCATCCACTCCTTCCTGTAAGCCCCCTTGTGGCATCTGTACTCATTGAGGACAAAGTGAGGCAGAGGGACCCTTAGAGTAGCTGGTGCTTATTGTCAAATGCTGACAAACTGGCCTGAGTCACAGAAAGGGGCACCCTCTTGACTGAATTGGAACTAAAGCACACGGCCAAACCTCTGTCCAGTCACTCCAATGTGAGCAAAAGACAAGCCAGGACAGTCACTGGGGATCACAAAGGAACAGGGAGGGATACTTGAGCAAGAGAGCAAATATGCTCCTAGCCAGAGGGTACCCACTGGACCTGACACCACAGGCCCCTCCCAATCCCTTAACCCCTGTATGCTCTGGAGCCAAAAAAGAGGCAGTTCTGGGTGTCCAGGCCATGCCTTATTTTTCTGGAATCTATGGGCACAGTCTCCAATGAGACTTGCATGTGCCCTGGAATTTATTTAAAAGGGGTCTCTCTCGCTACGTAACATGGCCCATTAAAATGCCCTGGTTTGACCAAGTGCTGGAAATCATTTAGGGATGTGTTTTCCCCACCTTGGAAGCCACTAGAGCGAAGCAGCCACAGTACTGGTGGGCGCGAGACCTGAGCTTGGGCATTTTTAAAGACATCTATGATTGACTTGAGATGAAACATTTAACTTCTTAGTTTTCCCACCTGTAAAATTGATTGGACTAACATTTTGGGACCTAAGTTCTTCCACCTTCCACGATTTATGATCCCCCTAGCCCCCCCCCCTTTTTTTGCTTCATTTCTATTCTAAATGTCATGCTGAGTCATAACAGAATCTGAGGCAAGGGAAAGTAAGGCAGGCCTAGTTAAAACGTTGATGTCTTGTTTGTCATGGAATTTTTTTTTTTTTTGCATTTGTTTGGATTTTTAAAAAATTGCATTAAACTATTAATCCTGGTTGCTGGATTTTTGGTGTCCCCCTAAATTGTTTGTCCAAGGCAATGGCCTCTCTCTCCTCTGCAGATACAGGCCTTCTCAACATCGAGGAGAGATGGGCCTGCCACAGACAGGGGACGGAGGTGGCTAACTACTACCCACTTGGACAGTTACCTGGGGCCAGCCAAGATGATTATTATCAGCAACCCACCTATCATTTCAAATCATTTCTGCTGCATTTCTGTCACCTAGGCCAGAAATTCTTTGAGTATGGGGACCCTCCTGTCTGGTGGTAGTGGTGTTTTTATTAATCCTACCCACCACACACCAAATACACAGCACAGAGGAAGCACTAAATTATCACAGAGAAATGGCAGGACCCACAAAAAATTCTAGATTTCACACCTGTCATTCTCTTGATCTTCCATAAGACAACTACTTATTGTTTTTAAAAAAGATTAGGATGTTACCAGATGATGAAAAATTAAGAATGAAAATTTCCTCACTTTTCCTCTCGGAGCCAAAAGAAGATGATTTAACAAGGTTTCCAGGACCAAGAAGCTTCTAGAACCTCTGCACCCTCAGGAGGGCCACATTCTTTGACCCAACAAGCCAAAGACTGCAGTTACCCAGAGTTTTGCTGCAGACTTGGCAGGAAGTGTCTTCAAGCCCATTAAGTGGGCTGGGGACAGAGAGCAGAGGGTGAGGGACTGAATTCTTACCTGAGGAAGGTCTGCATTAGAAGACATTTCAAGGGAAATTTCCTTCAACTACATGCACTTAGTTAAGACTAGTTAGCTATAAAGATGGACCTGTACTGACATCCTGGCAAGACTTCAGCAAATAATCAAGCAATCACTGGTGCCTGAAGACTACATATATAGTGAGGGAAGGGGCTGGACCACATTCTTGTCTCATTTGACCGCCAACTGGCCATGTACCCTTGAACGAATGCTTTCCCTCCTTCTGCTTCATTTTCTCCATCTGTTAAAAGGGGATGTTGAACTACATGGCCACCAAGATCCCCTCCACCTCTGACATTCTAGAAGGAGGGGTGCTATTATGGAAGTGGGGTGTTTGTGAGACATTCACTCCCGCTGTCTTTTTGACCTGTTAGCCTCTTCATGGAGAGTGTCAAATTCTTAATTAGTAGGTTTCAAAATGGGAAGACAACAAAGCTTACATTGGGGAAGAATGAAGGTTTACCTTTTAAAGCAGAGAAATAGAACCTGCTTAGGATTTTTATTGAAGTCCACCCCTGCAAAAATGGAGACATGAAAGATCATGAAAATCTGGAACTCTTTGCAAGCCAAGAACAAGTGGCGTATTGGTATTTTACAAAGATTTTCATTCCATTTGCAATACCTTTGTGCTTCCTTTGTGCATTTCTCCATCTTTTCCAGCTCTACAATGAGTTATTTTAAGACTCTGTTTTCCTGCTCTACAGTAATACTGTTCGAGAGGCAATTTAACTGTCATACTTTTTCTTAGACTTTCAAGACTCTTTGTTATGGTGAAATAATTTTAGGTACACCAAGCACACATCTATTAAATCCTTTCCTTATTTCACTAATGAACTACTGTGGGTGGCAAAAATTAATTTCATTCCACCTATGATATTCACATATCTGTTCAGTTTTTATAGTTGAAAAATAAAGGATGCAAATAACTGAAGTCAAATGAGTCTCCTCTGAAAATGTTAAGTCTGTTGTTTCATTTCTGCCAAGACATATCGAAGAAAAATCTATAAAAGTATTTCACAAAATGAAAATGATCCAACAGGTCCGATTTCCAACAGGCTGGCTGTGCTTAGGAATGGAAGCCCCCGTGTTCATGCATCAGAAAAGAACCTTCTGAGCAGATGTGTTTAAGCTCATCCCCATGGGCAGACCAGACATTAGCACATTAGAACTTGCAAGATGACCAAAGACACACAGCAGGGGGGAGGGAGGGGTAAACAGGAGAGGAAAGAGCACAAGGGACTGTGGTGATGGTTCACGGGGGCTGTGGTGGTGGGAAAACTATGGGGACTACACCCAAGGGGAGAAGTCAAATATTGTGCAAAAATGAATAATCTAAGAAAATAAATTTAATAAATAAAAATGGGGTGGGGAGAAGAACAATGCCAATGATGGCAGAGTCCTTGGACTGACTTGCCAGACAACTCTGCCAGCATTGCTCACATCCACAGCTCAGGCTGCAGCCCTAACAGCTCTCTGCCCTTTCACATTTTTTAAAAGATGTATTTATTTATGCATACAAGAGCTGAGGGCAGGCCAGAGATGCGGGGGGTCAGAGGATTCACCAGAGACAGAGTTGGGAACAGAACAGGCAGACTGACTGAAATACACTGCTAAGGGGAGCAGCGGGTGAGACAGGAGAGGTCTGCCGCGCCATGTGGGTAGCTCCCTGGCCGGGGATCAAACTCGTGCTGCAGAGGCTGCAGTTAGCTTCATAGTGCTGACGTTTAACCCCTTGTGCCACCAGGGAGGCCCCTGCCATTTTACATTCCATACCCCCCATGGAAGGTCACAGAAGGGTAGAGGCATTCAGACAAAGCCTTCCCTGCAAATTCTGCTGACTGAGGGCTGAGGAAGCCCCTTTCACATGCAAGGGACACGCATCCTAACAGTGGCAGCTCAGGCCCTTTTACTCTGGTGGAAAGTGTGTTGACAAGGAACAGAAATCCTCCCCATCACTGAGGACAATATGACTCCACTGGTAAGTGTGTGTGTTTGGAGGGGAGGGGGCGGAGGCGGGAGGGATAAAAGTCAGAGTTCTTAGGGAAACAGGACAAGTGTCACAAGACAAGAAAGTTCTGGGTCCTGTCCCGGAAGATAATTATTTCCAGAACTGCCAAGGACCTTGGCAAACGGGAAATTGGGATTGACTTGAACGTTCCCTATTTACAACCAGTCCTGCCCTGATTTACTCAAATTGTCGGTGCCTTAGGTAGAAGCAGCGGCAGGCCGATTTCTCCTAAGTCAATTTCGTCCTGGTTTCTGCTTCCGCGTGCCGGCTGCTGCAGAGGGCTCGTGAGCCTGGAGCTTGGACTCGTTTCTCTTCTCTCCCTGTCTTTTAAATTCCTTTTTTATTCTTCTTCTCCTTTTCTTTTTTTGTTTAAAGATTTATTTATGTATTTATACAAGCACTGGGTACAGTCAGAAGCGCGGGAGGGTGAGAGAATTCACCAGAGCGGGGAGCAGAACAGGCAGACTGATGAAATACACTGCTGAGGGGAGCAGCGGGCAGCAGGAGAGGTCTGTCCCCCATGTGGGACCCACCTCCGGTGGTGGGGATCAAACTGGTGCTGCAGAGGCTGCAAGCAGCTTTGCAACCCAGTGCTCAACCGCTGCACCACCGGGGAGGCCCTCCTTCTCCTTTTCTAAACCCCAAATGGTAGCTAGATGACTCTCGATCATTGAGAGTCAAAAGATAGTCTAAAAGGCAGACAAAACCCCCCAAATGCAAGAACTGTGGCCCTGAAGGAATTAGGGCCCCTGTCCAGGGGAGACTGGTGGAGCTCACCCCAACGCTGGATGTAAGCAGGAAGATCAGTGAAGGCATGAAAGAAAAAAATGAAGAAAAGAGGAATGAGGAGACCATTGTCTTCCCCCACCCCCTGTCTATAAAAATTATTTCATTGGACTTACACTCATACACGCACACCCTGTACCTTTCCTTTCTTGTGTTAAATGGCAGTGAGCCATGAAAGACTGCAGAGAATTATAAGTGGAATCTGCCTTAAAAAAAAAAAAAAAGACTTCTCCCCTCAAGTGACAGTAAATTGGATAAATGCTATTTTTAGATGGAATATATCTAACTAATGTCCAGATGTGATTCTACCACATGAAGAAAAAACAAATCTATCTAAAGCACTGAGCTGTGCTTGAAAACATTTTTTTAAAATGCTGGGAATAATGACTTAGCATGGAAAGACTCACACGTGACACTGACCATCAGCTTTTGCAGCCGTTTTCTTGGGAATAACATCTGTGCACATGGCTTCAACATGTCTGTGAGCCTAGGGTTTACATTCCTGATTTAATCACCACTAACTCTCTGGGCTCGCAATTCAAGGGCTATATTATTTCCACGCAAGTATAAGGGACAAAAGGGACAGGAATAGAATATCAGGATTTCTGTGCTAGGACGTGGGGTGCTCCTTCTACCCTAGACATTCTTGCAAGGCCTCCTTCCCATTCCCTCAACAAATACTGCTTAAGCATCTACAGTTTTCCAAGCACTCTTTTTGGTGCTGAACATAAAGCGATGAGAACACACAGGGCCCCTGCCCTCATACTTACAGTCTGGTGGACTTGCTTTTGGAGCTCAGTTTACAAATTACAAAAGAAAATCAATCCTATTACCTGAATGACACAAATGGTAGCGTCAAGTTTAATCACAGTCTTCATTACTGTGCATGACCCCGAATCACATCTGGCCATTTAAAAAAGTCAATCCTTGGAATGCAGTTACTGGAGATAATTCAAAATAATGTGACACAGGCTTCATGGGAAGAATTACGAATTATTGGGCAGTGGCATCATCACCCAGATGAAGGTCTGGCCTCCCCAGGGACTCTGCAGTTGATGCTCTTCCAAGGGGGTAAGGACACGCCACCCAGGGACAGCAGGAAGAGGGCAGAGAGGGAGCAGGGGGAGAGGAGGAGGCAGGGAACTAGGTGGGCAAGTCCAGGCAGGTGATAAAATCCCTGTGTAGAGGAGGGAGTGGAGAGGCATCACCTGAAGGCAGTTCCAGAACAAGAGCAACCACGGGGTAAGAGAATTTTGGCCAAGTATGGAAGAGAATCCATCCAAAATCTGGATGAAAAGAGCAAGAACCAGACTTGCAACCTAGGCACCAAAGCCCAGGGGAATAGAAACATCCAGGTTACCCCCAACCTGGCACTTAGCAGCTGAACAGGTGACCTAGTCTCACTTAGGGCCAGGGAAAGAAGCAGCCAGCCAGCCTGGCTTCACGGTGTCTGGAGTATCTGCATTTCTGTGTTTGGAAGGAGCAGCTTCCATGACTTTAAAGCTTTTGGGGGGTGGGCAGGGACCCTAATGTTACTTAAGATAGATGGGTGGGTGGATGAATAGATGGATGAATAGACCAAAACCTTAAAGACTGACTTGTTGCCCCCTCCTTTATCCCAAGTAAAGGCTGAAGATCAAGGAAAACTATATGTCATTATGGACACTCAATAAGGCATGAAGATTAAGCCCTCAATGGGTTAGCAGAGACTAACAACTATTTTCCATTATTTCCCAATGATTTCTTAAATATCTACTTCCTGAAGGCACCTACATACAAAAGGATCCTCTTTTCAAGTAACTGGCATCACAAACACTGTCTTGCAGTTTACATGTTGCTTTTCAGTACTAGGGTTTTAACCATAAGGGATAGTCAGGGCTTGGCAAGAAACAATGGGTAACAAATTTCTTCTGTGGCCTGTTAAGCCCAAGGCATACACAAGAAGGGGAGGTGAAATGGCAGATGATTTCCGTGAGTCGGCCCCTTGACCTCTTTCTCAAATGGTTATTCTCAGAACTTTCTCATTTCTTGCAGTATGGAAAGGCTGAGAATTTTCCAGATCTTCAAGTTCTGTTTCCATTTCGCTTAACAATTCTTTGATCCATCTCTCTCCTTTTACATCTTACTGTAAAAGTATTCAGGAGAAGTCAGTCCCTCCTTCAACACTTTGCTGAGAAACCCCTTCTGCTAAACATGCAGTTTCATCACACCCACATTCTGTCTTCCACAGCACAGGAGAACGCGGTGCACCAGGCCCCCAGCCACATCTAACAGCGATCACCTCTCCTCCAGTTTCCAAACTCCACTCCTCAATACTGCGTGAGACCTCATCAGAATCACTTTTAACATTTTTCCAGCATATGCCTCAAAACTCCAGCCTCTCCCTACTACCCGGATCCAAAGCCATTTCGACGTATTTGGCTATTTGTTACAGCAGCAAAACCTGCCCATCTGCTCTAGCTGCTGTAACAAAAATACATCCTGGAGGTGGGAGGCTTGAACAACCAAAGTCTCTTCTCCCACAGTTCCGGAGACTGAAGTCCAAGGTCAAGGTGCATCAGGGCCTATGTCGGTGGAGGCTCTCTCCCTGGGTTGCAGGTGGCCACCACCTTCTCACCCTGTTCCCCAAGGCGGGGAGAGCTTCATCCCTTCTTTAACCCCATTGTAAGGGCTCCACCCTCTTGACTTCATCTAACCCTGACCACCTCCAAAAGACTTATC